GGTCCTCTGGGGTCTCTTGCAGTGTTCAGAGCCGCAGCTTCTCTTAGGACGGTGGATTTTCAAACCCAGTAAACCACCTAGAGCAAAGCCAGCCCATTTCCTTAACCATCCCAGGTGTTCTCTGTAGACAAAAAGGCTTCTTCTGCAGGGTCGAGGGAGGGTAAAAGGAGCAAAAGCGAAGCGGGCAGAAGCTCTTCCCTGTGAGGGTGCTGAGGCGCTGGCACAGGGTGCCCAGAGAAGCTGTGGCTGCCCCCTCCCTGGCAGGTTGGACACAGGGGCTTGGAGCAACCTGCTCTAGTGGAAGGTGTCCCTGCCCGTGGCAGGGGGTTGGAACTGGGTGGGCTTTAAGGTGTCTTCAACCCAAACCAGTCTGGGATTCCATGAAATGTCTAGATTTCTTGACAGACTCTTTCATTTTGGACTAATTGAAAGAAACTAGCTCTAAGCTAAACTGGACACAACTGAATTAATGCTTGATTTATCCTGAACAGATGTTTCCTTGAAAAGGAGGGGATTGGCCGTGCATGTAGAATGGGGAGCCAGAGCAACGTCATTCTGGACAGGGAAAATAGAGGCTTAAGATGGCATGTCTTTTTTTTTCAGACACAATATTCCTTTAAAGAAGTGTTTGGCACCCTTGTTGTTCAGAAGCAGCTCTTTGACGTGGTGGCTAAACCTCTAGTGGAAGATCTCATTCATGGGAAAAATGGTAAGCAAGAACTTGCTCTCTACTGCTTGCCTGTGTGTCTGCCATGCAGCTTGTTACATTGCTGTGACTTCAGATGTCTCAAGGTTTCTTAGCTTGTCTAGGTAAAAGCATGTGTATCTTGTTTGCCATGTGGTTCAACATCTTTGGAAGCTCTTCTTGCCTTTTACTACTTCTAAATCTTTCTACCCTTGTTACAAAGTGCGTGTTACTTTACTGTTAACTGCTCAAAAGGAGTCATTGATTTTCCCAAATGCGTTTGACCCAGGAAAGACAAGGTGTGTGGTTATAACTGAGCTGTTCCTTGACACAGCGAGTGGGATTAACGAACTTTCCTGTCCCTCCTAGGTCTTCTTTTTACATATGGTGTGACAGGCAGTGGGAAAACACACACCATGACAGGATCTCCTGGTGATGGAGGGCTTCTCCCCCGGTGTTTGGATATGATCTTCAACAGCATAGGACCATTCCAGGCCAAGCGATTTGTGAGTGGTTTTGTGCTGCGTTCTCCAGTCTGTTGCCTGTAACAGCCTAAACCCACTGTTAAAACCTTATGTTCAAAGTGTCTCCTGTCCAGTCCTGTGAGTGGAGCACTTAAAAAAGGAAACAAAGCAAAAAGAACCCACATGCTTGAGATTTGAGGAGCTGGGCTGAGGAGGCAGGCTTGGTAGCTAGGATGGACATTCCATGAAGATGTATGGTGTGGCTGGCCTTATAATTGTTGCTCATTCTTTAATTAATAAAGACAAGAGGAAGCTTTCTGGGTTATGGGCTGAGATCTAGCCACAGGATACAAAGCCCCACAGGAAACCTTATTAAAATAATATAGATGTGAGGCTTTTCTTGTGGTCAAATGTCTCTGGATTTTGGTATCTAAATATATTTGAAATAATACAGCAAGTCTTTTCCTTGGTTGTGTGCAGCTTGGGAGCTTCTATGGAATCTTGTTGTCTCAGAAACACCTGGGTTTTGTCAGATCTACTTCACGTTAGCCAGCAGGCAGAGTGTGAGTGAGGAGCATGGTGTGTGTTAGCTGCCAGACAGCTTGATCAAACTATTTGTTTCGCTGCCCAACACTTGTGTTCTCTAATGTTTGTTGTTACATTGTCTAAAAACAAATCACTGCTCAGGTTTTTAAGCTTGATGACAAGAATGGTGTGGATGTCCAATGTGAAGTAGATGCCCTGTTAGAGCGCCAGAAAAGAGATGCCATGCCTATTCCAAAAACTCCATCTGGCAAGTAAGTCACTACTGCAACACACAGAATGGATTTAGTTCATAGAAATGTTAATCTGTTGCTGTGGTTTTAGCTTACCTTGGTCTCTATCCTTCCCTTAAAAACCACCATAAAGACAAAATATTAATGAGAAGTTAATATATTGCATGTAGTTTGAGCAATTGCATAAGTGTTTAAAAGGCTTGGAATCGGGCAACAGAAGTCTTGGGTTTTTTTGTACCTGTTAACCCACGAATAAGATGCAGTGACTTGGCCAAGTAGGAATACTGTGAAGTTCAGCTTGGGGATATTTTGCAATGTAGCGATTTGCTGAACGGAGGATAGGAATGTTGACTGGGATTTTGCAAGGCATTTCTTGCTGATAATGTGTCCAGCAGTGTCAGATGAAAGTTTATCTACTTAATTTTCACACTGCTTTTTTTAATTCAGTGTCACTGGATGTGCTGTCATTAGTTGCTGGTGTGAGCGTTTCCCTACTCAAAGCATGTATTTGTCAGTAGACTTGCTTTTTCACTGCCTTGTCACTGGCTGTGGATGCTTCACTACAATCACTTCTTGTGTGTGTCCAACAGGCGACAAATTGATCCGGAATTTGCAGATATGATCAATGTGCAGGATCACTGCAAAGTGGAAGAGGTTGATGAAGATAACGTCTACAGTGTCTTCGTCTCCTATATTGAGATCTACAACAACTACATATATGACCTCCTGGAGGAAACTCCCTTTGAGCCTATAAAACCAAAGTTAGTTTTATGAATACCATCACTCCTACTTTAGTTGTGCTTTTGCAGGAGCTGCAATATGTCTTTGCAGCTGGAGTCTTGGCAAAGTCTGGCTCAATTCATGGGAATCACTTAAATCACATGAAAAAGGTGATGGCAAAGGAGTCCAGGCAATAGTATTTAAGTGTGCTAAGTGCTGATGGTTGTTCTGCTGCTGCTAAGACTTGGCACTCCCTTCCCTGTTATAATGGGAGATTAATAAGCAAGTGTTTAATTTGTTAGGCAGTGTGTTCTATCCCACTGAGATTCTCTTCGTGCTATTCTGTGAGTACTGTTCCTAGCAGGTGACTGTCACTTGGTGTAAGCCATTCCATAGCTGACATTTTATTGTCCTAGAAACAGTGTACTGGGTGAAAGCTGCTATTTTGTTGACTTATAGTTAATGCAAGTTTGCATAGGATTTCACTTGATGCCAGTAACTTCCCATAAAACCAGAAAAGAATTGCCTCCTAAATGAAGTTGTGGGTGTTTTGGGGAAGGTGTGTACTCAACCGATGTCTAAAACCAGTGAATCTTGAGCTGTCAGAAAAAGCAGTCTGCGAATCAGACTTTGAGTGCATCGGTTTTAATCCTAAACCCATTAAAGCAACCCCCATGCCTGCCCATTGGTACATGCGTTAATTAAAGAGTTGGCTGATTTACAAGGACTAACTAGAGCTAAACGTCAGGAGCTGTCTCCAGGGCACTGATTGGAAAAGGGTTTGAATCTCTGGGAATGCTTTTTAAAGAAGTATGAAATTACTGGCTTTAGTATTCTGCTAATATCCAAAAATCAGCCCATGAGGAATCTTGGGTTATTTCTATTTATGGAAGCTACAGTCTATTATATATGAAATGATTTTTAGACACAAGCTGAATGACTTAATATTTTTTTTAACCCTGTTTTTTTGGTAGGTGGAACAATTGCAACACTCCTGTGCGAAATGGTGACTTTATGTATGTGCACAAGAATATTATTGCCAATACTGAAGAGTGACCTTTCCTTTTAGTAGAAGCAGAAAGCAAACTTAACTGGCTCTGTCTCTTCTTGCTTTCCTAGCAAATATAGAACACTGCTGAAGCCATCTTGCTTCTGTGTGCATGTAGAAAAACAATAGCTGCCACCCAAACCCATGATTTCTAGTAAGAATTGCAATTAAACGTAGCTTCTAAATTAAAGCAGTAGCTGAAGTGTAACTAATCTTGGCTGAGTGTGTGTCCATGTACTTGTACTTCCTCTTCCATCTGCTGTATGGATAATTGACATATTCAGTCTGATTTTTGTACTTAAACAAAAGAAAATATGCATGACACAATGTATTGTATAGGAAACTCAATTCTAGTGTTTGTTTTGTTTCCTCCCTGTCCTTAAGACCTCCACAGTCCAAAATACTTCGAGAGGACCAGAATCACAACATGTATGTCACAGGATGCACAGAAGTAGAGGTGAAATCTACAGAGGAAGCTTTTGAAGTGTTTTGGAGAGGTAAATCTTGGAATGTACCTTCTGAAATGCAGTGCAGATGTGTAATCCTTTACCCTAACACGCTGAAAGCAGAATGGCTTTGCCAGGTGCTGAGCCTGTGAGGTAAAACAGGGGTTTGGAAGGGTTGTTTCTGTTCTGAACAGGTCAAAAGAAGAGGCGGATTGCAAACACTCAGCTGAATCGAGAATCCAGTCGCTCTCACAGTGTTTTCATTATAAAGTTGGCTCAGGCACCTCTGGATGCAGATGGAGACAACGTGCTGCAGGTGAATTCCAGGGCACAACTCTGTGTGTGTGTGTGCGTATGTAGGTTAGAAAAGGCAGTGAACTGTGCAGCATGGCCCACTAAAATCATTCCTGCGTCTTGAGCGGTAGCAAGTTCATTGTGAAGGAAATCAAAGTTATAGAATTTCAAGTCTCTTGACAGAATGAGTTTCCTTCTCATGATGAAAACAGGGTGTTAAAATAGAGCACAAAGCTGCTTATCTGTTTTTTACCTCTGCTGCTTTTGAGCAAAACCTCTTCATCTAAAAAGTGGGGGATTTGAATGATGAGTACAGTTGTATCTATCCTGTGGCCCAAGACAGAGGGGATCTGCTAAACCTGTCCACAAGAAGAGCTCGTGGTGCCCAGCTCATTGCATTAAGGGCTATAAAAACACCCTCAGACTTTATTTAAAGGCAGAACACACATTCTTTTTAAGTGTGCATATACCAGTTTAGGTTTGGGAGGTGAGGGGGAACACCCCACCCTGTTAGAAAGCATATAGAGCTGATCTTAGCCTAATGTAATTTGTTTTCTATAACAGGAGAAAGAGCAGATCGCTTTAAGCCAGCTGTCTTTAGTTGATCTGGCTGGAAGTGAAAGAACTAATAGAACAAAAGCTGAAGGGAACAGGTTGCGAGAAGCAGGTATGTAACCACCTTTAGGCTGCCTTGGTAATCATATGTGCTAATAGACTATTCCTAGAAAAGATGTAGGAAGAACTGAAGTGTTCTGCTATCATGTTCAGTTGTCTGATTTGATGACCTTAAATTCTCCAGTTTGGAAACCAGAAGTTGTCAGTAGCGCTTACTCTGATACTTCAGTTAATTACAGCAGTTATGTGTAACAAATAGAACTTAAGTCCAGGCAATTTGTTCTTAAACTGCTAAATAATTTGGGAATGTGATCCAAAAAGCTGCTTACAGCATTGTTCTGCCTTGTGTTTTGTTTTGGCTTTTAAGGTAATATTAATCAGTCACTGATGACATTAAGAACGTGTATTGAAGTCCTGAGGGAAAACCAGATGTATGGAACAACTAAGGTATGCAACCCCTTATCTAATTATCTGTTGACTTGACAAATATCTGGTGTAATGTAAGATTACTACAGCTTTCCTGTACTTTATTTTCAGATGGTTCCTTACAGAGATTCCAAACTGACTCATCTCTTCAAGAACTATTTTGATGGTGAAGGAAAAGTGCGTATGATTGTGTGTGTTAACCCTAAAGCTGAGGACTACGAGGAAAGCTTGGTAACTTCCTTGCACATCGTACCTCATTCCCTCTTTTTTCATGGTTGTCACTGAATTCTTCTACTTAGTCGATGAGAGGAATGATCATTTCTGTTGCTTGGGCACTTCATGTAATCAAGTATAATATTTTAGGGTAAAAGTGCTCTCCAAGTCTTGTTTTTCCTCTTAAAAACTGCAACTGCAATTTGCTTGTGAAATAGGGAGGGTTTCTCTTATTTGCAGAGGTGAAAATAGACGTATTTAGGTGCTTGATCCCTACCATGATAGTGCTGGCAAAAACTTGAGCTATCTGCACAGTTGGTTTCATGGTCCCTTTGGGGGCTGAGGTTGGCGAGGTGTGACTGGGAAGGCTTCTGGATACTCTGCTTCAATCCCAACCTATTTACTTGAGATTATAGCTTGCTAATGTCTCCTGTAATACTTTTATTGACCTAAAATGTCACTTTCCAACTTCGAGTGGCCTGCCTCTTGGTTAGTTCTGGTGTTCAGTTGCTTTTGCTCTGTTGTAGCAAGTGATGCGCTTTGCGGAGATGACGCAGGAGGTTGAAGTGGCAAGACCTGCCGACAGACCCATCTGTGGCTTGACACCAGGCCGGCGCTTCAGGAATCAGGCCTTCAGAGAGGAGCTCCAAAGGAAGCTGGAGATGAGGGGAGGCCCAATAAATGGAGGTAAATACTGGAATGCTGGGTGATTACAGCAGGTTTTTTCCTGTTAGCAGTTGGAGACTATTTTAAAACAAATTATTTGAGCCGTGGAAGTGCAAAGGGAACTTAGCTGTGAGCCTCCTCTGCAATAGGCACTGCTCGTTTCATCCTGCAGTGCTACTTGCCGTATAAACCCAGTTACTGTGGAATTCTCACAGTAATTCTTTGTTATTGGTGATGAGCTGAATTCACAGTCCCATTATTGCAGCTCCTGAAAGGAAGTGCCAAGGATGATACTTTGATGTTTTTGTATGCTCAGGGCCTCCTTTAGAAATCAAGAGTAGCCTGGAGGTATTATAAAGCAATGAATTGAGAATGTCACATTTAATCTTCTCTCAATGCTGTCATCTCTTCTGAAAACCTCTAGTTCTCATTAATAATTCCAAGTTCTGTCTGCTTCGTGATACTCTGGAATGAATGATCTGTGGCTGTGCATCGTCAAGTGGAGTTTTTCTGTTCTGTAGCTTGCTGACAGACTCTTTTTGGCTTTAAATCTTACAGAGACAGAAGAGCAAGCTGTTTCAGAACTGGTTTTGCAGAACTTTCCTCCGTTGCCTTCATGTGAGCTATTGGATATTAATGATGATCAAACACTTCCAAAGGTGATTGAAGTCCTGGAAAAACGCCATAAACTACGACAAATGTTGTCAGAGGAGATTGCCAAAACCGGTAAGAGTTTGAACATCAGTTTGGAGCTAGAGTTTGGCGCCTTTATTACTACTCAAGGGATCTCTCCTCTATCTTCTGTACCAACATGAAATACCTTGTCTAGATCAATCATTTAAAAAGCCTTTTTTGAGGTAATGAAATCGCTGAAAGCATTGTTGGTAGGAGAAAACCAGAAGTGCTTTTGATTAATGTGGAGATACAGTGAGAAGATAAAATATATCGATTCCCTTGCAGTGCTTGCCTTTAAAACAGTGCTGCAAGAATTTGACTCCAGTGTTGCATCCAAGGAAAACTACATTCAAGGAAAACTGTCTGAGAAAGAGAAAACAATAGCAGGGCAGAAAATGGAGCTGGAACGCCTGGAGAAGAAAATAAAAACTTTGGAATACAAGGTCAGTTTCTTCCTTGTCTAAAGCCAAGCACCAAGTGCATGTGTGTCGTTTGGCAAGCTGCTTGATGTCAGGAGTTGCTTGCAAGATGGGTATTGGAAACAAGATTGAAAGTATTTTGTGTGGAACTTGTACTGAACGCTTTTTGGCTTTCTTATGAGGTGAGGCTTTTCTTAATACATGAAGGTGGGCAACTTACGTTGTAAAATCTGTGAAACTTTGTGGAATGGCGACTGTTATCTGGGTATATTTGTACAACAGCTGATACATTCTAGTATGTGCTAACAGTCAAATAAAACAGGCGATTCTGGGCTTAGGTGGTTGTACTTCTAAAGAAGCATTGCCAAGTCCTTCCTCTCTTCCTCCAGATTGATATCTTGGAGAAAACTGCAACAATTTATGAAGAAGACAAGCGTAATCTTCAGCAAGAGCTAGAAAGCAAGAGCCAGAAACTGCAGCGTCAGGCTTCTGACAAGCGTAGGATGGAGGCACGATTGCAAGGCATGGTGGCAGAAACAAGCATGAAATGGGAGAAGGAGTGTGTAAGTACACTACTACATCTGTTAGAAATGTGTAAGGGAGTGAAGCTGGGTGGTGCCAGGCACCTTGGGTTTTGTGAGGGATTTTCTACAGTGGTGCCATTAAGAATGGAGATGTGTCTGGCTTTTGATTATGGGCTCAAGACATTTTGACCCGAACTTTTCTGTGTGTGCAACGGTACAAAATTCCTCGAGGACTTCTGATGCAGTTAGAGCAGCTCTCTTGAGCTCTGTGTCATTTCATCTCGATGTGTGCAATTTGTTCTTTTGGGTTTGTGGCACTCTAAGGAGCGATTCCCTTGTTCCATCAATTGTCAGTAGAAGCCTAATGTCAGAATTTGCCCTTTACCTGCATGTAAAGTCTTCCTCAGTACTTGACATGCAATAAGGAAAGGCTATCTGAGGGATTAACTCTTACTACTGCAGGACTGTACTACTTCAGCATCATTGCTAGAGCTATAGACAGACATGTTCCTATTTGTTGTAATTTAGGAAGCAAAATACTCATGGAATGAAACATGATATTATTTTATAATCTGCAAAGTCTTCCTTTTGCCTGACGTCATTATTTCCAATAGCTGGTCTCTCAGTGGGGAAGAACTTTGTTCCATGTGGAATTTGCAATTCCCTTCAAGCTTTCAGCACAATTACTCGTGCTTTCATGTAAGTTGCTTCATGTTTTTCCTCCCGTGTCTTTGTAGGAGCGGCGCGTAGCAGCAAAGCAGCTGGAAATGCAGAACAAACTTTGGGTTAAAGATGAAAAACTGAAGCAGCTGAAGGCCATTGTTACTGAACCAAAAAATGAGAAGCCAGAGAGGCCTTCACGGGTGAGAGACCGAGAGAAGCCTGTTCCGAGATCAGTGTCTCCTTCACCAGCACCTGTAAGTTGCCTTTAAAACACTTCTCAATAGAGAGAGAAGCACAGTTGTAAGAACAAACTAAAGTGCAGGCTCCTTCTCTTTAGTGGCTAGAAAACACTACCCAAGCACAGAATTTGGATGACTAAAACTTGCTTTGAATTCTTTGTCTCCTGTCATATTTATCATTGCTTTTTATTCATGCTTCTGCCATCTAATCTACTGGTATTGGAAGAATGCCTGATTCTTAATGCTGTCACTGCAACACAATACCTCTCCAAACCCATCAGCTTGAATAGCTGAATTGGCACTCTGCACCTTGTCAGTATTCAATGTTTTATTGCCTTGAAAGTTGTTCTGTGTGTTCACTAATTTCTTTCCTATTCTCTCTAGCCTCCTAGTAACTCTGTTACTCAGGTCCCTAACAGCCAGCGGCTCGTGAGCAACCTGCAGGTGCACAGACGTTCTAACTCTTGTAGCAACATTTCTGTGGCATCCTGTGTTATGGAATGGGAGCAGAAAACCCCTTCGCACAAGCATACCAGTGGCACTTCTAATGCAAGGAGTAGACAACAAGAACCAGAACAAAATAGAGACTATAACATCTCAAACAGAAGGCGAGGGATGTGCTGGACTGGAGTCACTGAGCTTCCCAGGCATAGAGATGAGCTAGAAATAGAAGAGGATCAATGCCACAGGGTTAGTGCTGCTCCTGTCAAAAGCTCAAAGTAGTGTTGCTTAGTCTGGCTCAAAAGCTCATTACAACTGCTCTTACACTGAGCACGCCTAACATAGATGGTAGTTTCCCCCTTACTGTACTTCTCATAAGATAGTTCTGTTTCCAGGTGGAATCTCACTAGTCCTCTTTGACTTCTTAATTTGATGTTTTAGAAACTCCTTAAAAGCAGTGTGTGCATTTCTTGCTGGTGCATAGATAGTGCTGTGAGGAGCTCTGAACCAGCTAGGCTTTTTCTCTAGCTATAAGTGTCCTTGTGTTTTAACTTGTGTCTGTCTCCTCAAATCTAGCTTGCAGCCTGCAATTTACCATACTCTGTTTGGGCAGCTTAAAAGGTGGTCTTATGAGCCATGCCTGCAAATGTCTACTGGAAACAGTGCTTGGACAAACATCTTGCTTGTGTAACTGTTAGCTTTAACTCTCTTAGAACAGTCTTCCTTGACTTTCACATCTGTGTTAAAACTGGGGCTTTGCTTACGGGTGGGAGACTTCATTTTCATTCAAGTGATGCATGCAAATGTTTGATTTAGTGGCATCTCTGTCACGTTATAGCACTGTCACAGTGGCTCAGGTAAATCAAAGAGAAATGCACACCCCCTCCTCCTAGAGAGCTTCTTGAGAGGAGAAAAGTTAATCATGGTATGATGAATTGTTGAGTGTTCTCAAAATTCCTGTCACTTGCTGGCCCTTTGAAGTGAGGGACAGGCTTTTAAGCAAGTGCTATTCCAATTAACTAATACACGAATTGCTGTCAGCAGAGAAAGGGATGTGATCTGCGCCACAGTAAAATGGGACCAGTAATAGCATGTCCTCTCTTTAGAACATGAGTTCTAAGGCACCTCGGCAGAATTGTTTCCAAAAAAAGCAACTGAAATAAGCACATGCCAATTAAAATGTATTGAAATTATTGCTTTTTATTTTCCTGATGGAAGATTTTTGCTGAAAACCCAATTTCCTTATGTATGTTTAATGATGCAGAGCTGCTTTAGACTTGTAAAGGTCTATCTGTAAAGGGTCCAGCCAGTCTTATGTCTATTGGTCAAAGGAATCTAACTGACGCTCATTACCTGCTAGGTGGGATTTGGATTCATAGGTTTGGGTGAGGTAACCTCAGCATGGTTCAGGGGTCTCCAAAATGAGTATGTAGATGGAGCAGAGAGAGTCTGCAAATAGTGTTTCAAAATCCCATTCAAAGATCCTGAAGGAACCAGGGTTTTAACTGAGTTTCCAGAACGTTCTGATTTTTCTGAGCAACTGACAATAATGTTCATAAAACAGAAATGTATGAACTTCTCATGGATTTCCAGCAGCTGACTTGAGAGGCAATAGCACCAGCACGAGGGATGCTGCTTCTGTGCTGTTTCCTCAGTGTTAGGAGGTTTTGCCTCCTTTAAAGATGTTAGAAATCCATACCCTGCTTGCTTTGCTACCCCAAAATCCATTTTGAATCATGAATGTATCAATGGAAACAATTCTCTCTTGTGGTTGGTTAATATGTTCGTAGCAATCAGGTTTGATTTGGAAACTTGGGAGGAGCATTACCAAACATAATGATCTCCTCCTTGAGGAGACTTTCTTAGGTCTGGAATGCAACAGATTGGGTAACAGCTAAAAATTCACAAGAAATAGGGATTGGCACAGAAAGAATCCATTAATAACTCCCTGCAAGGCTCTTTGTGATGGTGCCTTTCAGGATGTGCTCTGAAAGCACTTTGGGAAGGAAGCTTTGATCTTCCTACAGACACATCTTAACCAGACCTTCAAAGTTCACTTCTGCTAATGACACCCTGCGAGAGATTTCCTGTGTGCTGATTTCTCCTGATTCTCTTCCACTCTGCTCAGAGCGCGCCTCCGGTTCGGCTCAGACACAGACGGTCCCGCTCAGCTGGGGGCAGATGGGTGGATCATAAACCACCCTCTAACCTGCCCACTGAGACAGTCATGCAGCCCCAAGTGCCTCATGCCATCACGGTGGCGGCTGCAAGCGAAAAGGCGCTAGCTAAGTGTGACAAGTACATGCTGACGCACCAGGAGCTAGCCTCTGATGGGGAGATTGAAACTAAGCTCATTAAGGTAAAGCAAATGCCTTCCTTGTGGACGTGTGCTAACCCTGTCTAAAGCCATTTCTAGTGATCAATTTGTGCTGCTGACTTGTGAAAGGGTGTGTTTGGCTTGATCTGCTGTGAGATTTGAATTGGAAGTTCTGTGCACTTGACTTCAAGGGAGCTTTTAGTGTCTGAAAATACTCTTCTTTGTCATTACTTTGTATAAACCGTTACAAACCCATTTAACTCGGTTATCACTTTCCCTGAAAGTAATGGAGTGGTTTTTCCTCTAGTAAAATGCAATAATCCATTTGTAGTGAAAGTTTTAGACTGCTCTTGCGGAGTCAGCCTTGTCGGAGCGGTGCTGTTTCATTTCCAGTAGCAGCATGAGTAACTTGCTGCAGTGATGGATGCTCGAATGCTCCAGGGCACAATTTCTAGTAGTCAACTGACAAGCAAACTGGTGAGACAGCCCAGGCTTTGCACACTCGCAGTGTTTGTGTCCCACAATGCTGACTGCACTTACCGAAGGCAAATTGAGAGCTCTTTTGGAACAAGAAGTTTTTGGTTCGTTTTCCCTTACAGGCCTTCCAATATTGCTTTTTCTTTGAGTTTTAAAAAACGGCCTCACTTTTTTTTCATGTTTTCATGAAAAGCAGTTTTCATGTGAAAGCCAGTGCTGTATCTGTTGTGCTGATCTAGTGACTGGATCTTGTCAACTGCTTTTTGCTTCCCAGGGTGATGTTTTCAAAACCAGAGGTGGTGGACAGGCTGTGCAGTTCACAGAGATAGAGACTCTGAAGCAAGAATCTCCAACTGGGTGAGTTTTGGTCTCAACTTCAGGTTCTGATGCTGCTGGAGATGTGGAGCTCCAGCAGTGCATGTGGAACTGCTTCTGGTCCAAATGACTGAACAGGAAGTTGTTGCATCTAACTTGAAATCATGTAAAAGTGATTTGGTGAGGCTTATAGGTACTGAAGCTGCTTTTAAGGCTGGGGTGCTGCTGAGAGTGAAGTATTTATTTAGGAAGTATAAAATGCGTTCTACTGCATATATGAGAATCTGCCGAAATCCATGATGCTTGTAACTCTCTTCATGCTCTTTCAGTCGAAAGCGAAGATCATCACCTTCCAATCCTGACCAGCCTGAGGATGCTGCAGACTCGGAATGGACTGATGTGGAAACCAGAGTAAGCTAAAAAGGAAGGAGGGGGTTATCTCATGCTTGATCTGGATGAGGATTTGGGGTAATGCTTGTAGCTGGGTCAGGGCGGGTTAGTGACAGAGGCTGATTTTGTGTGTCTTGTCAGTGCTCTGTGGCAGTGGAGATGAGGGCAGGATCAGCTCTCGGACCTGGATATCAGCATCATGCTCAGCCCAAGTAAGTGCATCTCTCCGTTGTAGCTGGGGGATCATGTTCTCCTTCCTAGTAACATCTAACATGGGAGAACTTTCTTCCACCACCACCACCCCACCCCCCCGTTAACCTTGCTGCCCTTCCTACTTTAGGTTTGGGGTGTATACCTCCTTAAGCAGGATCATTGAGGCTTGGAAGCTGGTGACAGGATAGATCTGTAGGAGCCTCTGCCCAGAGGACAACTTAATAATTCCTAGATCTCAACATTCTGCTCACTGCACTGAACACCAGTTTGATCTCATGCTATCCCAGCTGTAAAAAGTTGGGAACTATAAGATGCCTGGCAGGTCCAGAGCAGACCAGAGTTAGGAATGGCAGTGACAAAGTGCTAAGCTATATTCCCTCTTGTCCCCCAGCCTTTATCAGATGCTGATGTAGTGAAGAATAGTCATTTTTAATCAATTTAAATTAACCAAGGTTACAGTTTCAGCATGGCTTAGCGAGGAGGGAGCTGAGGGTGACCACAGGGTATATCTAATGGTTTACTTGAACACATTATCAAGGTACCTACTAAGGAAGCCTGGGCTCTAGTCGTGCTGGAGGAAACTTTCCTCCCCTTCAAATGTGTATATATAACAGAGTTCTTCAGGTCTTTAACGTGGTGGGATCAGTGGCAGCTGCACCCAGGAATGGAAGCTTACCAAGCCAGCAGTCCCAGTTTCTAACAGAAAGTCCAAATGATCCTGCAGTTTGTAAGGCTGGCGCTAACACCTGAGCCCCACATCTAACAAAATACTTCACTGACAAAGGAAATGCTTCAGATAAGATAGTTCTGTTCAACCAGAGGTTGCAGAGCAGAATTCAATCTCCAGATGTGGCCTCTTGCAGCTAGGTGCTGGCAGTGCTCTGGAGGTCGCCTCTTCAGCTTGGAGGAAGAAAATGTGCAGTTTTGCAAGACATTTACAGCAGGAGAAAGGGCTGGAGAGAGACAGAGAGTGGTTGTGAAGCCAGAATCAACTAAACTCACTGCATTTGGAACCCAGAAAGTATAGAACTATGGTGGAAGGGTACTTTGGAGTGTCTGAAATCAGCAATCCCCCTTTCAGATAAGGTGACAAATACGAGCTTTCATCCTGTTAGCATATATTTATTACATCTCTTATTAGAAACAGAGACCTACTCTAGGTGGCTACTGCTACTTGCAGCCTTTCCTATAGCCTTGTAATGTTGTAGTAAATCCTTTAGTTCACCTGTATTGAGTTGGAGCTTGTATTTATTTTAGCTTATTAAATAATTAAACCTTTTATGCTCATGACTATCTAAGAAAGAAAGCGAAATACACGTGTTTCCTGCTAAAGGAGATCTCTAGTTTTAATTGTTGCATTTCCTAGCATAGGAAATATGTGAGACTTACATACACAGCAGATTAGCTAAATAAGGTATTTACTGTTAAAGAAAACTGCTGCTGCGTAAAACCTGGAAGTTATTTGTGGCTTTTCTCTTTTAGGCGAAGAAAACCATGAACTTAACATAGTTCTGCGTTGGATTCCTCTTCATTTTATCAGACTGATGTAATCTCTGCTGCCAGTGACAAACCTGATGAAAACTGCTGTGCTATCCCCACAGGCTGATGATTTTATAACCTCCTGTGCTAGGCAATGGTTAAATGGGAGATAGCTCTTGCAGGCCCAAAGAAGCATGTGTGTGGCTGTATTTTCAGTAGATATCGGGGTTCTGCTGTTGTCTCCCCAGACTCCTGAAGAACCTTCTGTCTTATATGTATTGAGCTGTATCTTTATAGACTAATGACACAGGGCTTTTGCCTTGCATTTATTTTTCCAGCTTTTTATAGTGCAAAATACTTCTGGTCTCTCCCTTGTCAGGTCCTCTGTTTTGAAGAGGCATAAATGCTGCTATTTATTTAGATGCAGTAACGCACTTTAAGAGTGTTTCTATGCCATTTCATACTTTATGATAACCAGCACCAGCTTGGTAACATGGCTTTCTTCTTGGAAGAATTACCTTTGATTATTTAATACACAACTCAGCTTGTAAAAAACATTTCAATCTTCAAACTTTCTTAGTAATGAAGCAAGAAAACGATGGGTAATGGCGACTTGACATCAGACCTACTTTATATTGTAGTGTAAGTAAATAATGTTTTACATCTGTAGATACAGGGTAAAGGGGTAATTTGCTCACAGATATGGTGAGAACTTTATATATGTCTGCAAACATGTTAAAAATAAATACTTTTATTCAATGGCTGTTACAAACCATGTTCTTGTTACGTAGGGGTATGTGAAGCTGCAGCAACTAAGGTAAGCACCACAGCATTTTGACAGTGTCTGGTGCAGAGCTGTCAATGGAGGCAGCTTTTAGGATACTCCTGAAGTTTAAACCAAGGAAGCTTCTTGGATCCCAAGATATGTTTTGGACAACCCTATCTTTGTGCCTGCAGACCGCTTTCAAGGGGTGGTTGGTTCCATTTTCAGCAAGTGCCTCACTAAAAGGTGTTGAAGCTTTTATCCTACCAAGTAGTTTAAAAATCCTTTTTTTAAACACTTTCTAAGGGAAAAGGCCCACAACGGGAATGGGAAGCTGCACAGCAGCAGTGGTGGCTGGTGCTCGTACTGTCCTCTGCAGCTGTCTTAGCTTTCCCCTAGCTTTGAGCAGGCTTGACCATAGTTGCTGAGAAAGCAGTTGGTCTCTGCAAACAGAGATAGCTCACTCTGTGCTGGCAGGCCTTCATCTGTGAAATGGTGTTCAGGATGCTGCTTGAAGTGTCTTTTGTTGCTTTTATTCAAGTTAGTCTTACTTACTGCCTCATGAGCTGAGTGTAATGTCTTAGGATTTAGCTAGTAAGTCCTAACAGGAGAAGAAACAAGGGGGAAAAGCAGCCTGAAGAAGTATGTGGGTTTAAAAGAGGTTTTTGTGACCTTGGTGTTGGATCAGGCTGCCCAGGGAAGTGATGGAGTCACCATCTCTGGAGGTATTGAACAGACTTGTAGATGTGACATTTAGGGACGTGGTTTAGTGGTGGCCTTGGCCGTGCCAGGTTAATGTCTGGACTTTGAACTTAAAGCTTTTGTCCAACCTGAACAATTTCATGAGCTCAGGAGGCAGATCTTGGTGCTGGAGCAGTGGGAAGGAGCCTGCAGCTGCATGGAGAGTTTATGCCACTAGATGGTGTGGAATAACCATCAGGGGCTGGATCCAGCTTCCTGCGCCCTGCAGGGGAGGTAGGCATTATCCTGGGCCTGGGAATTTCTCCCTCCCATGCTGTGGAGCCTTGGGATACCCCTAGCTGTAGGTTCCCTGCTTCCACCCGTCTTCCTGCCTTTTGCTGCTACCCTGGGTGAGGATAGGGATGGGAAAGAAATCTCAGTAAAGCCCATGCTCCTGTTTCTGGCTTTTAAATGAACCTCTTCACACTAAAAATCAATAATCTACTACTAGTGATGAGCCAGCTCATCGTTACCTGGGAAGGAGGCTTGAGAAACGGATACTCACAACTTAGCAAAGGGAAATACTGAGCTGTGGAGCGTGGCTTCGTTTGGGTTGTTTGAAAAGCAACGTGAAGCCTGAATTAACTCTTGGTTCCCATATCACAGGTGGCAAAGGCTGCGTGACCAAAGTGCTTATTTCTCCACTGTGTATTTTGACACAGTGGTTTTTTCAAGAGCTTTGCTCAGAAATTCCTTGTTTTGAAGGAGAAAGCTGTTAAGTTCAAAGAAAACAGTGGCTGCAGGCACTTTGTCCTGTTATAAAGGTTAATCAAAAGTGTAAATACAAGACCTTGCTGAGGAGGGCGTCTGCCCTTGCTGGTGCTGTGAGGAAGGTGGCAGCATGGTAACAACTTGTCTGGAGCCCAGGACTTGTTCTTCATGTGCTTCAATGCTCCTTGAGGTCTGTGGCTGAGGTAAGTGCATTGGCCTCCGGCCTCTGAGTGGGATTTGAGGGGAGGGTGAAGGCTGTGCCGTCTTCCTGGCTTGGGGTCTTGACTGTGCAGCCAACACAACCCTTCTCTTTATTAGCTACATCTTTAATTACTTTAATTACAACTCTAATTACTATGGTGCCTGTGATGGGCACCACAGATAACTTTAAAGAGTGAAGCCTTGTGAGCGAGAAGGAGCTTTGCAAGCCGCCCTGGGTTTGTGTTTGAGAAGGAAACAGGGCTTGATAAGGACTTGGGCTTGCTTTGTGGAGCCTGTTTGCTCGCGGGGGGAGAAGCCCATCAAGCTCCGCTCCCTTCCCAGGTCTCGCAGTGCTTCCCCATCAGCAGAGCTGGGTTTGGTGCCACTCAATCACGTTCCTCTGAAGTCGTTCTTCACGTCTTTGCGTCTTCTTCCCATATTTACCCTCACGTACAGCACTGGCAGTGTTTACTCTGCAAAGATTCCTCTAAGACTCAGCTAAGCACACAATTTACTCAGCTAACAAGGGCTGGCATTTATTGTGGGTATCTCTGTGTACTTGTTCTTCGGTCTCCGTTGACATTCGGTGGGAAGCGTTAAAACAAACAGCAGTGGGAGGGTTGGGTTGCCTGTACCAACCCTGCTCTGAAATAGCTGAGCAGGCTCCCTGCTTGATGTTGGCCAGAGCTGGCTCCCACCAGTCTGCTGTCAGGGAGGATGGAAAAGCCTTTCTGAAGCGAGTGGGTTGTGCTGAAAGGTTTTCATCTTTGGGAATACAGCTCTCCTCGCTCTGCAGCGCACGTTCACCTTCCCCCTCCTTCCCCTGCGGCTTTGCACTGGTTGCAGCTCACATTTCCTGAGTGGAAATCACCATTTGTGATTCTATGATCTTGGGGTCTCTCTGCCAGGAATGCTCCTGGGATCTGTTTACCCTGTCCTCGGAAGAGGCAGCTTCTCCCTTGCCTCCTTTTGGGATGCTTGAGCCTGTTGCTGAGGAGCATCTGGTTGCACGTGCAAACAAAGCAACCAGGGTGATGTGGAGGCACGAGCATCTGTGATCAGTGCTTTTCATTTAACAGGTCCTGGTTTCTGCCAGTCCTCCTC